ATATATAGTGATTGAACTTATCCAATCGAGACGTGGCTGACTGTACACAGGTGTCCGTGTGATTCTGGATTTTCTTTACCATTTTTCAGGGAACCTTAGCTTATAGATTTGGTTCAGCTAACCGTGACGACTCTTCATCTCGCAAGAAGGTCGGGCTTCGGACTGCATCCTACGTGTTCCACAAACACCTCGTGAGGCGATATCCGCCGCGTTGATTTCACTGTCCGCATACCTTCACCGATGTCTTGCGGTTCGCGCAAGTAACTTCGGAAACCCGATCACTGACCACACTTCGGACGGATTCGAGTGCCGTAAATTCGATAAATACAAGGGTGTTACAGTTGGCCGATGTCGAATCGGTGCACAACTGGAAGTGTCCGCATCTGTGGGGTGCTTTTGGGCGGAGGTAGAAAAACCCTCACTCACAGCCGAATCGCTGAGTAAATCCGGACTTGGTGGTTGATAGTCTCATTGCTTGTTTGCGATTACGCGCGTAGTTGTGTTGAGGAGAGCCTGGAGGGCGGTCCTCGAATCCGTCCGAAACGTGATCAAGGTGACCGCGTTTCCGGAGTTTCGTCGCAAACCGAACGAATGACCTCTGACTCTGTAGGTTCTGGCCTACTGAGGGGAATTCAAATGGAGGTGAATTCAGTGTCTTCTTCAGTATTCGCATAGCATCTCTGATTTTTCAGTTGGAGTTGACGGCTGCTCCTACTTGAGGTACCACAGAGTTAGAAACATTCTTCGAGTGCGTTGGCGGTTCCACTACCATTCGATTAGAACCCAGTGCATGTCATACTTCAATCTGCTTCAGTAGTTATTTGGAATTACTCTTTTTATCGCCTAAGTTCTTCGTTGATAGTGGATGGATGGGGTGTAGTCTTCTCTGAAAAATAAACTATGTCACCAGGTCCAAGGGACTTCTCTTATGAGAGGCGAGTTACTTTGCATGAGAAAAGGACGTTAACTCATCATTACGCTATAGTATATTCATATATTGTGACGACAGTATGGTTTCCGGTAGCTGTTCTGTTTTTTTCTTCCATGAGATGCAGTTCTGTCATCAACAAACAGCGATCGGAGTTCAGGTTTATTTCGTCGAATCGTTTCAACAACCTTATTTCAGGACAAATTACCTGGGACGCCATGTCTTTTAGAGGAGCTCATCGGGAGCGGTCGATAGATGCACGCGCGCGCACATACACACTATTCGTAACCAACCGAACTAGCCATGAATGATCTCAGAAGATACACTAAGCTTAATGTGAGATAAAAGTGTGGATTCTATGTTTTTCCACGGGAGATATCCGAACATGTCAGATATCTTTTCATAGTTCGAAAAACGGATATCTGCTCAGTCATTGGCAATTCGTTTTATTATACTGTCGTCACTGAAAACTCATTATGGCAACTGTAGCTTATTCATACGTAGTAAAAATACATTTTAGCTTGAAATGCCGTGCTTCTCTTGGGGAATAGAAATATCGGACAATTTGAGATATATATCTCCCGAACGTTTACTCCTGGCTCCGATTCCTGGCAGGATACTTTATCTGCTCTAGGGCAGTGGTTCGAATCCGTCGGTAACTTGCCATCATGCAGAATTAGGCAACATAGTATCACCTTAGTCGTCGCGTTTTTTCAGGGTACAAAATGGCTGTACCTCCGAAAGGATGTCGCCAGTAAATATTCCAATGATGACTAAATAAACTGAATGTGAGTTATCTGGACTGAGAACGGCTTCCAACCCGCCGAGTTCCATGGATATTTTACTATTCCTTCCACGTCAACTTGGGTCGTTTTCGTTTTGTCGCTGCATTTTTGGTGGTTGGAGTGGAGGAGAAGGCTCTGGTTTATCAATTTTGGGGGTGCATATCAATGGACAGGGGAAAACTCCACCAAGTGCTCCGCTCACTCGGTGGACAAGATTAAAACCGAATTTGACTTAATCGCGTACTGTTGAACGGAAAGTTCGCGATTCCAATCATCCTTCCAGGTTCACAGTTGCCTCACTCTAATCCACGGCTCTCTCTCAGACCTCAAACTCCTTTGGCGTTTTATGAAAACTGTGTCCTTATCGTCATCATCATCGCTATCACCGCTTTCATCATGACACACGTCCTTTCAGATTCAGGGATACACCACTTTGACGCCATAGGTGTCTCAAATTGGCAAACGCGGCCCGAGTCTTGCAGATTCGTGCATTCACCTCATCTGTCACACTACAATCAGAACTAATACAACTTCCAAGATACGTAAAACGTTCCACAACTTCCAGTACCTCTCGCTGGATAACAAGAATGGAATGGAACAAAACAGTCCAATGAAAGGCTGAAATAGAGAGAGAGAGAGAGAGAAATGTTGATCAGTATGTTCGTTAGGAGGACTGCCTCCTAACACGGGTATACCAAAGGACGGGATGACTTTGGTTGGTTCATCCAAGAATACTTGAGCCTTCTCCTCTTCGAACATGTGAACGATGTCGTCTGCATACTCCACATCGACAAGGTTTTCTCCACAGGCTATTTGAACACCAGGGTTTTGGTGACCCTCCAGCGTTTGTCTCATTATTTCATCGATCACGAAGTTAAAAAGAAATGAAGAGAGTGGGCATCCCTGACGGACACCGCTTTGTGTACGGAAGCTTTTGGAGAGCTTCCCCGTCATCCACGATTTATGTAGAATATCATTCACTGAGCCTCACTTGCCCTTCGGGTAATGTTATCGTATTCGGCCACTGCGTCACAGTCAGCCTAATTATGTTCATTCAAGACGTCACTCATTCTACTTACAACTCAAGCACTGATGTGCATTACTGCCTCTTAGTAGTGTTCCTTCGTTGAGGAACTTTTTTCGAGGAACTAACGGACTACTCCAGTTTGATCGGTCTCTGCACTGTAGGAGAACGAACACTGAACGAAGACACTTTTTTGTCTGTTCCTGTGGGGGTCTTTGTCCTTGATTGGACCACTGTGAATCGTCCATCATTTGAGGCTCTGCACTAGCATTACCAATTCATTGCTAAAAGTGTTCACAGGAGAATTCTCATCTCCGTAGACACCCTGAAGAACGATCACTTCCTCGATAGAGTTTACAGCTTCGTTGTCTGTCAGTCACCACCTCGTGTTGATTCCCTCAAGGCGAATCCTCTAAGTGTGAATGATTCACCCCTTTCCCCTGTGATGTGTATACCTGTCCAGAGGTGACAGGTATGTTTACAATAATAACAGTAGTTGTCAACCGAGGATCAGTCAATACGTGATCACGTGATGTGGTTTCCGTGATGGAAGACCAAGTGGAGCGAGTTAACCACATTGCTGACCAATCGATCGTCGCCGAGCGGTTTAATCCGGAGGTCGCTAGTTTGGGTCTAGTGTTGATCCTCGACTTTCGACTTAGAGTGATCTCGCTTACAGAGTGAAATCTCTGTCGAATAGTGTTTATTTGTAATTCAGAACGCGTCATCACTGTTGAATTTGTCGATTGCACACCATAGGTGATTTGGTCACACACTCCGCATCAATGTCATCTCAGTGGTGTAGCTGTCATGATTTGGTTCACCCACACCTGAGGTAATTTTGTCGTTAGTGCTCTGTCATTGCATTCCAGATTCGCACAGTTTTTGATCTTACTGTTTTTCAATGTGTTCCATTGGAACAGACTCAATCCGCGGGTGACCCTCCTCCTCTGAATGGTGGACCAAATATGGGTAATGTGCTATCAGAGTCCAATCTGATCAAAAGTTATTTTGCTGCAGGGTGAGAGTGGCAAGTGTTCATAGTTAAAACTCTTTAAACCTGCGGCCTATCGTCTGGATACCTGAATACTTCTTTTTCAGATTGCTGTTGAGCGACAGAACATCGAGGATGCTTATGTGCGTTGGCAAACTGCCACAGCACGCGCCAATTCGTGCCTGATAGTTACTCCCCGAGTGAACACTGTTCCGTTGGGTAACTCGGCTGACGCAAATACCAGTTCGCAACGAGATGCAGATGATGGGGTTCTGAAGGAAACATCTATTCTGCGTACTGCAAGACCGCCATCAAGGGGTGGTGGAGGCACTGCTGAAGATATCAAGCCCGACGTGGACATGCTAGAAGTGGAGAATCAGAAATGGTAAACACACTGTGCGATTTCACCGATTGTTTTCAGTCTGATCACTTCTTCAGCTCTCGCAACTGCATCCCACTTAGTGCTGATGATGAATTGAGCCAATCACATTTTATTGCATTGAAGCCATCATTTGTGTTGATCAGGAAAGAATGTTGGGACGCTTCCATAATTTACAGGGATCAGCATTTCCCTGACAACCCCTAACAAGAGGTAGTAAACATGGCTTTCGAGGTCTATTTCAAATACTGAAACATCCTGTCATTATTTACAAGGAAGCTACGATGATCCAGCAGGAAGCTCCAAATGGCCAAACATCTATCTAGGGGTTGCTGCAAATCGCTTCAGCTCTAGTTGTAACTGTTTGTGGACATAGTTTGTCCCACATCTTCGGGAAGGGTTTTAACCGTAATCCAGTCACATGAGTGCGCTTTTCAAGCGTCCTTCAGAGCTAACCTCTCGCGAGTCGATTTGGTAAATATGTCCACAGGTGCTGATCACTTTCTCGTGACATGAGATGCCCAGACGCTCGTCGATATGTGTGCGGTGACTGCGTCAACCAGGAGATGTCGTTAAGTGGAGATCACCTGCGACCACTGGAGGTGGAAGCCAATCACTTGTTTGTTTTAATTAGTCAGCTACATTAACATTAACACCCCTCCGTTCTTTTCCACACTAGTCTGGCTCATCTGGTTCTACCATATTTTTGTAATTGTGATGATTCGCTACTCACTATCGACTCGGTTGACCTTGCTTACATACTGAACAGTGAAAATCAAAAGTTCCGCAGTCTTATTCATCGTAGCGAATCAGATGCGTGAGTTTCAAGTAGATTGCTAGATTCCTATGTTCCAAGTGGTAAGAGCGCAAACTTACTGACCGGAAGGTCCGTGGTTCGAACCCGAACTCTGCCTCTCGACTTCCCCTGTCTAGGCTTGGGCAACCTGGCAGTATCATAGGCCTCGTGAAACCTTCGGGTGGCATGGCAGCTAGGCCCCGAAAGGGCGCCACAGCTGAACGAAGAAAAAAGAATACATCTCTTGTTTGATTTTTCATCCTTCAATATTTAAATAGAAAACTCATGTAACCCACAAGGCAGCCAATCGATGAAATGATCTGTGATGGGGAATAAAGTCACGTGAGCGCCAACTCGGCTTGTGGCTGAACTTGTTCGGGACGTCCGTCATTCTCGGTCAATGTGAACCTAAGAAAATCAGGACGGATGCTCGTCGATCAGGACGAATCCGACAATTAGTCGCACCATTCTCTACCGTGTTTCAAAATTTTCCGCTGTCATTCTCTCCTCACCAGGCTGGTATCATTAATTATTGCTCTTTCACATTACTTTTTAGTGGACCAGCCCAGGAAGATATCAACCCGCCACCTCGTGCCTCACTTCCGGTGTACAATGTGAGCGCCCAGTTTGAGGTTCGGCGCCTTCTCAGTGAGCTTCACGAAGCGTGGAAGAAGTTTGAACCTCTTCAAGCTGCACTAACGCGCGTCAATCGACAGTTGGAAATTCTACTCCAGTCCCCACCTAAGTGAGTTTGATACCATCTCTGTGGATTTTCGGAGAACAGTATGTCTCTGAGTCATCATATCTTCATTATTCCTGGCGAGATGGCCGAAGTGGTTAGAGCGCGGATTACTAACCTGAAGGTCCGCGGTTCGAATCCGACCTCCGCCACTCGACTTCCCCTGTCTAGGCTTGGGCAACCTGGCAGTATCCCAGCCCTCGTGCTCCCTTCGGGTGGCATGGCAGCTAGGCACCGGAAGGGTGCTACAGCTGAACGCTTTTTTTTTATTCCTGGCTGGTAGGCTTGTATTCCGTCCAACCGGATGACATCTATTATATTTTGAGACCTGATTCAAGGTAGTGCAGTGATTTCCTCTCTTATGTGTGGGTTCTTTTGTCGGAATACTGTGAAATCGCGATTTCAGTCGCCCGAACGTTGACTGCATCCAGTTGCTTTGGTTTGTGCGCATTTCGGGCGGCAAATTGTTTGTGATGTATACGACGCCTGTGTGCTGAGCGATCTACGGAGGCATCACTGTCAACCCTGGTGTTGCCGCACATACACTGTGCGCACCCACGGATCGCGTTCAAGAAGGCTTGGTCGTTTTCCCGTTTGATTTGGATCTTTTTGAGCTGAAATCCTTGGAATTAACGTATCAACAGCTCCTACTCATGTTATGTTTTTGGCCCACCAACCTTCTGTTACTTACAACTGTCATGGGACAGCAAATCACGTTTGCTGCCCTACTGATTATTAATGTGCATACTTTGTGATATAGAGCACAGTCCAATGACAAATAGTCCTCTTTCACTACCTAGGCTAGATACCTTTGTAACGGCAGATACTACTGACGAAGCATGCGAGTAGTCCATGGTTGGTGTCCAAGTTCCGTTCCCGCATCTGATAGAAATTGAGGTTTATTACTGAAATTTTGGAGCTGGTTTGTAGTGATCGTTTACTATTTTGTGTAAAAGTAGTCAATAAATATCCGGGAAAGTTCAAGGGGACGCGTGAGAATACTCAGTTTTCTAGACTGCGCATTTGATATGTTTGCTTTCCTGTCTAATGGCTTGTAACTATTTAGCTCTTGTTTGCCAACAAATGACTTCCCAGCGAAGGGATTTCCACCTTTCACCCTTATTTTCCCCAACTCCAGACAAGAGCGGTCGTGGTGCCGTGGTTGGGTTCGAACCTCGGACCTTCCGGTCAGTAAGTTTGTGCCTCAAGCAGCTGTGAGTTGTCTTGAACTCAACCACAAGGGGGATGATGGATTCAACAACAAACGGGATTGGAGGGGCGTAAAGGCCACACGCGAAACTAGCTCTTTCCCCCTTCTTTCATGGCGTTTTATTAGAGTGCCTGTTTGGATGTGTTATGTCGTCCAAACCCAGACATGCGCTCTGCTGACGGATGAAACCTGAGCTGTTCGTTGTGTCCATAATTGTAACTGGCCGAAATTCCATGCATCCTAACACGGTGTTTGACTTATGGTCTATGGCTTGTCGGGTGATATGCTGATCTGGGCTGCTAGCGAATTGTCCGTGGCTCACCTTCAGCCTCTCCAACACGTTTGATTCTCCAATTAATTCTGTCACAGACTTCTCTGGATACACCGGGTTTCTAGCCGTTTTCTCATTTCAGTCGAGATAGCTCAGTAGACCGAAAGGTCCGTGGTTCCAACCCAACCCCCGTATCTCGACCACTCCTGTCTAGGCTTGGGTAATCTCACCCCTCGTATTCCTTCGGTTTGCATGGCGGCTATGTGCCGAAAAAATGTCACGGCTGAATGACCATCATTATTATCATAATTCTCTTTTTACTCTTCGGATTTCCTTTTGGTAGGGAAATTTATCTGACCGATGAGGAGCGTCGCACTTTGAATTGGCACTTTGCTAATCTAGAGTTCGCGAACGCCACCCTGTTGAACAACCTGTCACTCCGTCACTGGGATCAAGATGACGCATTCGAGTTGAATGGCGAGCATTGTGTGGTCCGTGATGGATATTCGAGCATGACAGATGCTCTGGCCTCAGCCATAACCAGTTCTCAAACCGGACCTGGCCCGGTTCCATCCACCATCACTCCGAATTCAAAGCAACGTGAAGCACCGTGTCCCTACACTCTGGGACCAGGTCATATTGAGCTCAAGAGTTCAGTTAAACGGATAATATATACGGAGAAAGGTAAGACTCTGTGTACAAGAAACACCTACTTTACTTTCTTACGACTTTCTTTAATGTTGGAGTAAGGCATGCTTTTTTTGGGAGGGGGGGGGGCGAGATGGCCTAAGTGGTTATACCACGAGTTTACTGATCGGAAGGTCCATGGTTCGAACCCGACCTCCGCCTCTCGACTCTCCCTGTTTGGGTTTGGTCCACCTGACAGTATCCCAGCCCTCGTTCAACCTTCAGTTGGCATGGCCGTTAGGGACCGAAGGGATGCTACAACTGAACGATTCTTCATGCTTTTTTTAGAGGTTGTCCGGTAGTTGGTTTGGTACTCTTCAATGAGTACCTTCCGCAGTTGACCGCCAGTTTTTTGTTTCTAGTGAGACCACCGTAGATGCAGTTTTTCGAGGGGATCACACTGAAAGATATTATTTGAAGGACTTGTCTTTGAACGTACTATCCTCTTTGCTTTACCGCTTCGCATAAGCACACTATATTAGCCAATGGGAAGATATTACTCATAATCCATAACGTGAATCCGCCAACTACTCTGGGAAAAAGCTAGCCTACCCTCGTGATACATTTCTTTCTGGTATCTAACAGGTGTCCGGGTAGATACCCTAAATGCGGCCTTCAGTCAAGACGATCTGATTGAGAACGAAGCGGACGCGGTCGTGTGCACCCTTCCACTCGGCGTTCTCAAAGAATCCGTACAACTGACCACGGAACACCGCACTGGCCCGAAAACCACTTCCATCAGGGGTGATAGTGGTGGCCACCATCAACAGCTGGACCTGACCAAATTGAGGGCTCCGCTGTTCGACCCCCCGCTGCCTGATTGGAAAGCTGATGCGATTCAACGATTGGGCTTTGGAGTTTTGAACAAAGTGAGATAAAAAAGTAGCTAAAACCCCTGTTTCTCCCTTTTTTGAGAGAGTTCATGCATTTTGAAATGGAGTTCCTAATATCTTCGAACTAACCACGGTAATATCCTCTAAGAGAGACTAATAGAAATCGTTATCTTTTTCTAGTCACACACACATTTAGTCCAAAACTGCAAAGTTTTTCCTGGCATCAACAGTGGCATTCAAACGAACTAAGGGGACCATTATATTTAGTGTACATTTACGGCCACAGTTCATTGTTATCTCTTGTTAGAGACGCTGAGCGCTGTCGATTGCATGCCTGGGTTTCCAGCGCGGACTCCCCCAGCTTTTCACTTGCATCAACGTAACTCATACTGTCTTTAGTCACTTAGGATTTTCGTGTAGTTCATCATCATCGGCAACCTAACGTTAGTGTAAACGTTTCATCACCAAACTAGGTGACATCATTAGTGCGTTATTGGGGAGTGGAGTTGTGCGTAGCGGTGGGTTAGTGGTTATGCCACAACCGCTTGTGCACAACCACTAACCCACCGCTACGCACAACTCCACTTCCCAATAACGCACTAATGATGTCACTTCGGTTGTTGATGAAACGTGTGCAATCAAATTACCCAGCTCAGCGAACAAGCCAACAACCATCTACGCTACCTGAGCTACCGACATTTTGCTCTATAGACAACATTAGTGTTCACTAATGTTTTGCTTCCGTACCACCAAAAATTACTTGAAGACCTTATTGTGAAGAAAAGAACAAAAGTACATGGAGAAGGGAATTAGTACCACTATAACCATTCTGAGGTGCCTACACTTCCATGCCCTCAGGCAATCTGTCAATGACAAAACGAGCGCCACTGACATCGAATAGTGGCCATGTCTTGCACCGTCTCCAAGCGGGCGCAGTGAGGGTCACGCGGTCCCCATCCTAGAAGCTGAGTCGCACCGACGGCACCCAGACTTTTCGTTATCTTTTTCTTACACTCCAAGGGGGGGGGCGAGATGGCCCAAGTGGTTAGAGCGCGAATTTACTGACCGGAAGGTTCGTGGTTCGAATCCGACCTCCGCCACTCGACTTCCCTGTCTAGGCTTGGGCAAGCTGGCAGAATCCCAGCCCTCGTGCTTCCTTCGGGTGGCATGGGAGCTAGGCACCGAAAGGGTGCTACAGCTGAACGCTTTCTATCTATTTCTACATTCCAAGGTAAACCGTTGACCACTATCCCGATTCCACCACTTTGAATTGGGTACGGAAAATATCACTCTTTGGCAAATGATGGTTCGCCATTCGCAATACATGACCTAACCAACACAGTTTCGATGGGAGTCCCCTGTGCACAACCGAATACTCACTTCCTAACTGCCTGGTTATGAATTCTCCGACACCAACCCACACCGGCCATGGTTCCAGGACATCAGCTATCGAAGTCCTGGGAAGGCGTCTTAGTTCCACTGCCCAAACAGGCCAAGTCTCAACCATACAGCCCGGACTGTAGCCTGATACACACGTCTCTTGGCATCCGGGAATATACCACTTTGACACCATAGGTGTCTCAAATTAACGAGTGCCACCCAAGCCTTTGCAGATTCGTGCATTGATCTCATCTGTCACACTTCAGTCGGGATTAATACAACTCTCAAGATTCGTAAATCGCTCCATCTCTCCTTGGACTGTAAGTGACGTATTCAGCGCACGTCCTGGGGCGTGACCTTACACTTTGCTAGTGCGAATCCCATGCCGAGAAACGAGATGGCTTTGGCTCGCTCGTTTTCAAAAGGTACACTTCTGATTGGTCACATCTGCTATTCAGGGGGCTTAGCAACCCGGAAGAACTCGAGATAACTCAGTGGTTTTGGGCGCGCACTTACTGAGTTCAACTTCCAGTATCTCGACTGCTCCCTGTTTACGCTTGAGCAACCTAACAATACCTTAGCCATCTTGCTTCATTCTAGTGGCATGGCAGCTAGGCACCGATAGGGTGTTACCGCTGAACGATCATTATTATTGCTGCTAATATTGTTATCATTATCATTAGTAGTAGTATCAGTATGACTATCATGCGGCTCTTTTGCAGACGGATTGGAATGAAGTACAACAGGGTATTGCAATACAGTAGCCCCCTTGATAAAAACTTACTGCAGACCAAACTAGAACTTATTGCAGAAGATATTTTCCTCATGTAGCTATCCTACTCAACAGTGAGAAGAAATAGTCCCATCCGCGAACACATAAGTTTTGAAAGCGCAGGTTCCCCTGAACAAGAACACATCGCAGGACGTGACCACGAATCTATTGGTCACCGAGTATGAAAATTGCCAGGACGAGATTAGCTAGTACAGCACTGGCGGGTTTTCATCGTACCAGGACTTGTCCTGTTTCCACCATCATCTAGATGGTCTAAGTGGTTACAGCGCAAACTTATTGACCGGAAGTTCCGTGGTTCGAACCCGACCTCTGACTCTGGATTCCCCTGTCTCGGGCGGTCTGGCAGTATCCCAGCCCTCGTACAGCCTTCAGGTGGCATGGCAGCTAGGCACCGAAAGGGTGCTACGGCTGAACGACTCTGTGATCTAGCCCACGAATGTTTGTCCATGTTTAGTGTGTGCGATTTTGATGGGTGCGAGTAACTTCGTAAATGGGGACTAATCGAAACCGGTAGCTCAAGCAGTTCCTCATGAACTTCGTTTCTGGCATTATAATTGTCTGCTGCAACGACTGTGGAGATTACGTCTGTTAGTCCATTCATTGCTTGTTGAGAGAGATATGATATTTTTTTTCAAATCCTGTGACCACAATCAATCCTGTTCTTGCCTCAAACAGCCATGGGATCGCACAATCAACAGCAAATACGCGGCCTATCATTATCGACCGTAAGGACCGCGTACTTGCCGTACAGTGGTTATAGCTACCACAGGTTCGTTCACCGACGAATTGAGGGAGGTGGGTGCGCGAGAGGTGAAGTAATTGATGCGTAAATACAGGGTTGTCAGTGGACTTTTAAGTTGGGAGGTTGGGAAGGGAGTTATGCATTGAAGGCATTAGCGCCCTTGAGGGCGCGGCCGAACCATGTCTGACAATGTCTAACCATTGAAGTCTCCCGTCTCGAGGTGCCCATCGAAGGAGACGGAAATGTCTAGCGCAGCTGAGTTTGCTGTTAATGACTTCCATACTTCACTGCAACTAGTGTGGCGTTGTATACTGCTGATGAAATATGTGGGTATAATCTAGCTAAGCACCCTCCCTGAATCTGATGGAAGGTTAATTTGAAATTATTGAACCATTTTACAGTGGTCATTTATCATTCTACCAAATTACTTACACGAAAGTTCAAGGAGACGCGTGAGGATGTTGGCCATATCAGAACTCTGTGAAAATGAGTTTTTTTTACTTTCGTGTCTGATAGCTTGAAACCACTTAGTTCGAGCTTGCCGGGAAAAAAGCAAATTCGCACTCGAAGGCGCTCTTCCCTTCACCAGTATTGCATACTCCTCTCGTCGCGGGCTCAAGAAAGATGTAACGTTCGCGGTGGCAAGATACGTAGCTAATGTTTAATGTGTCTTAGCGTCGCAGTACCTGAAGTTACCAGTGAAAAGGAAGAAGGCCTTCGCTGCTTAGTTATTTATTAGAAAACTGAACAGTTACAGACTGTTGGACAGGGAAGGGAAACTCTCATATGCATCTTGTTTACACAAACTGAATACCCATCTTGTCCTTAAACGCGTCTTCCTGAACTTTCCTGGGTATTATTGACTGTTGCTCAAATGCAAGCAAATGCGACTCCACAAATTCCGTAATATATCTCACTTTTCAAGAGGCCAGGCGGATTTACGAGAAAACGTACTACTTGCATGCCCCCATCAGTAGTATCCACCGTTACAGCAGGATAGGTCGAAATTGTTACCAGTGGTATATAACACGAAGATTCTGGAAGTAAGTGACGCCAGTGATCCTCGAAGTGCTTCTAACTGAGCTAACGCAGACCGGGCACTGTGCCCAGGTTCGGCCATAACTGCTGGTCCAGGGCATTACTCAGTCTTTCGAATGAATTGCCATGTTTTATCGGTTCCATGTTGTTTGAGGGCGACAAAAAGGGATAGCCATTGAGTGGGAGTTTGTGTGATTATTCTTGCTATTTCTTCTTTTCGCATTAATCGCCCAGGCGAACATTCGTCTTTTGCCTGGGTGGTGTGCAGCATGCACATTGAGTTAGAAAACACTAGACGTTATCTTTACAGGTCATAGTTGTCCGGGGACTGATATTGTAGTGGTGTTCCAATCGAAATACCCTTTGGCTTAAAAGCCTGATTTCACGACAGTGTTGTTTAATGTAAGACTAACAGAATAGTTTCATTTTAAGAAAAACCATTGGATTCCTCATCCAGCTTCTAAATTTGAGAGCAACGGGTCGGTATTATCCCAGATCTCTTCCCAGTGGCCAACATCAGCAGAGACAGCAAGGTCAGTGTTGATGATGATGCTTCGTTGCCGCACAAACACAAAATTCATCTAATTATATTTAGAGCTTTAAATGACAAGGAGAGAAAAGAGTGGGCGAGGGAGAGACTTGTTGCTGGCCTATCTTAGGCATTCTGAGGTGCCTACACCTCTAGGCGCCCAGTCAAACAATCTGGAAAGAAACTGACGACACGCACGCCACTGAAATTGATCAGCCACCGTTTACTTGATTGCTTCCAACTCATTGTAGGAGAGGTCACGGGAACCCAGTCTTGGGCGTACCTCACCAAGACATTCAAGCTTTTCCTGGTCAATCTGTATGGGTGATTTTACTGTTAGACCGCTCGCCTGCGATAAAGCACATTGGGTTAGCGACGTACACAAACAGTCAAATCACGATAGGATCCGGTCCGTTCTTGACGGCGAGGGCTACTACTTGTTTGCATTGCGTGGTTTGGTTTATTTGGAAAAAAGTCCAAGTCTGAGGCAACGGAGCGTCGTATTCCCAGCAAAGCTTGTTTCAGTACAGGCACTTAGTGAGTCAAAAATACACTCGACTGATCCAGTTCCTCAGTGTTATTCTTTCTGCCTTTCTTCCAAGGTTGTTCTGGTGTTTGAAAAGTGCTTCTGGGATCGATCGCAGAATTTGTTCGGGCACGTGAATTCCACAAAAGAGTCACGTGGAGAATTATTCCTCTTCTGGTCCATCACTGATCGGCCCGTGTTGATCGCTTTGGTTGCTGGCCAAGCTGCGTTAGACTTGGAAAATAGCCGGCCCAGCCCTCAACGTGTCTCCCCTGGATCTCGCCTTTCCACCAGTCAAGTCGTTGGTGGCGTGGCCGGATCTAAGAGCACTACTGGCTCCTCTCCAGTCAGCGTCATACATGGTCTGCAAGAGCCTATTGTTGCTAGGGCGATGCACATCCTTCGGGGAATCTTTGGGTCCCAGGATTCATCGTACACCGCTTCTCTCGGTTCATCTCAAGTGGATCGCAAGAGAGTTGTGCCCAATGTGAGTTCCCATCTCAGCTGATTGGTATCGTCCATAATTGGTGTGGTTCGGTTGATTTTCCTTGGTTTGTGCGTTGGTTCTTTTCTTTGTTTTTGGCACACAAGCTCATTCAGTGTTCATTCTATGACGTGGTGGCTGTTGCCACTGCTACCCGAAACTGTATACTAAGCTATCAGTACGATTTTCCAGTGAATCATCCACTGTTAGTTCTTTACATTCGTTTTCAATGCCAGCCAACCGTATATATACAGACGCTCCGTGAAAAAGCCCGTTCACCTCAGACATTGGTTACGCGGTGTTTCCAAATTTAAGCATAGGTGAGCATTGGTTGTCATCACTATGTTGAGCTATACAACGGGCTATCCTATCTTCAATCCAGTTAGTCTAGTCTTGTTTCAAATGTTCTTACGAGGCCACTGCCTTTTCGTTACTATTTGTTTGACCAGCCCATCGACGCAATTGTCACGCGTTGGTATTCCGATCCTGACTCACGTGGTTCCTATTCCTACGTCGGTGTTGGATCCACCGGTTTGGATTACGACCTTCTTGGCAACCCCGTTAGTGGAAACATCCTATCGGGAGGACCGCAGGAAGCTGAGAAATCATCCGAACGTGTTTCTCCGTCAAAGAAACCGCCCACAGTGTCTCCTAGTCCCACTCCTCGGGTTTTCTTCGCCGGTGAACACACGTGTCGCTTCTATCCAGCCACTGTCCACGGCGCCTTACTAAGTGGACTTCGCGAGGCAGCCCGTGTAGCAAACACCTTTTTCCCTGGTCCTGTCCCTGTTTCACAACATGGCTTCACCCTCAGTTGTCCTGCTTCTCAAATCAACACTGGTACTTGACTTGGACCCCCCACCCTCGTCCACCCATCCCTCTTCTTCTTAGTATATATTGCCATGAATGTACAATAACAGAAAATCCAAACACACAAAATGACTCTCACTAGCCTCCTCCGGAAGTGGAAGCTATCTGGACGGGCTCCAGTTATTTATTCACTCTAGTTTCCGATTGGTCTGAACAACCTGGTTCATTATCTGAAGCCACTGCACTTCCAGGTGCACTTATACGCACGTATCTCTCACCGAANATCTCACCGAAATCTTACGAGCGAAGTAGCTCTGCTGAACCAGTAGGTACGAGAAGGACAGTGTGCAAGGCACCGTTATGTTGAATGGGCAGATAGAATGATCATATAGAAACGTTTCTAGAGGAGGCGTGGTTATTAGATCACCGACTAAAAAAGAACTGTTGGTTGGATACAAGTAGCTCGCAAAAATGCTGGGCGTTTGAAAGGGAAACCACCGTTAACGGGACGTGTATAGGTGACTTAAATTTCTGATAAAAAGAATGGGCACTGGTTAATAGCACATCAGCGGACTACCATCCGGCTCTAGTGGTCAGGTCTTCCGAGACGTTGGCATCCTTGCAGTTTAGGCACTTATCGCAAAGAAGTGTATTCACTTCCAAATGGCAGACAAAATCAACTGAACAAATAAAAGTTAAGTAACTTTTACTTAAACGAAGCTAGAATGGTATGGGGCAACGGAGCCGGCGGTACTGCTCCCGGGGTTGAAGTTGTTGCGCTTTTACACTGCTGACAGGGTTAGTAGTGGTATGTCTTGAAACGTGAATATTTGATCGCAGGTGTGAACACGAGGAACGCTTCGTTGCTCGGACATAAGAGGCTCTGCAAAATATGCACAAAATTTGGGTAATATCACGCGAGAAATTTACTCGGCTGATAGAGCTTTATGTCTATCGTGGTCCGTTCAGGACGGTACAGAAAGAAGTTAGGCTATTCATATGTCTAAACGTTGCTACCGATGCTAGTGGAAGCTCTTAACCAATATTATTAGGTGATTTTGAGTCACCAAAAATAACCCGGAAAGCAGCTGTCGAGCAAGTGGTAGCTGACGAACACCCGATGAACTAACACAGCCACCGGTGTTTAGGCGTATGGATCCAAAATTAAGGACGGATCTATTGGAACCCTCGAAACAAACGTGTTAAAACGCTCAAGTATGAAAACACGTTTCCAAGGGGTGGATTGTATGTAGCCACTGGAGAATAAGCCATTTCAGATAGACCTTTAACTTCGCAGCTACATTAAGTCTTCACTACGCAAGACAAGGCGGTACTAAAAAGATAATCAAGCCATGTATGGTGTGTTAATTGCATGATCAACAAAACAATCGGGTAGGGTGAGAAATTACCAATATTCGTGTAGTAGGCAACGTGAATGGCACATGCATATGCAACGGATGGTAGTTATAAAATCATCAAGCAACTCATGACGGTTTTGAGTGAGTAGTAGTTAGGGGCTTTGCGTTGGAAGTGAAGGGCGTTCAGGACCTTTGTATTACCAAGCCATGGCTCGGCTTGCCCAAACGGTAATGCCTAACAGGTGTGGTTTTGACCTGAAGCTCGCAACACGAGTCACATCACGGCTACGAAGCACGAAGTGGTGGATAGATTGAAAAACCAAAATGGTGAAATGACCCCTCTATTTGCATAATGCAGGTGTCCCTAATAGACATTTCTAATAAGCCTATCTGTCCAGCAGGGGGAAGTGAAACCCTGGTCCTCTGACGAAGCAGACCACTTCGGGGATGGCAGATTTTGAAGAGTAAAAACCACATATCTCAGCGTGAGACTCTGCGGACCCAAACGGGCTACATTGTGCTACATCAAGATTCGTTGAGGAAAAATTCGAAAGACAGTTTTCGGCCCAAACACTTGAGTGTAAAAGTACAGCGATGGTTATGACAATATACAATGTTGAATGAAGGAAGACATCGACAAACCACACGACGCTTATTGCAAGAACTCGTACTTCTGAGGACGTCAGGGAACGTAGTGAGAAATGAAATGGTCTTTTATTTGTAGGCAAAAGAGTGGTTCGGACGATCAATGAAGTCTCTCGAATAAGGAATAGTGGGCACTATTTCGAGCTAACAAATCTTAAATAAAGTTGAATGGGCAAGTATACCATCTGGACAACCAGGGTGTCTCGTTTTGCAGAACGGCGCTCCTTTCTCACGGACTTTCAAATTATGAAGCGGTTCACAAAATTATGCACCAGGAACACGGTCCCCTCAGGCAGCACTTCTCCAGTATCAGCAGAGTGATGAGGCGTTGATGTACCTCACGGTGAGCTGTTGACAATTTTTGTCCCCTGAAACGTGAGGTTTTGGCGGACGACTTTAAGATGTTAAGGAACTGCTGGCTTATCGATCCTATTTCGAGTTGTATATCGGTTGCACTTGATTCATCTACTTCATCCTCGTATAACACCGTCATGTCGCCAAAGCAACTATCACCGTATCCACCTGAGCCATCTGGTTTTGCAGTTACGAGTCATAGCCATGCTATTTTCGGCGGAGACCCGTAATTGCATTCTACTGCGGTTGCTATAGTGCAGTGGAATTTTCTTTGGCCGAGTAATGCAGGAAGTAGACTTTGGGGCAGCATAACCTCTGGAGACATTTCATGGGTAGACCCCAAGTTTGGCATTTATCAACAAATACACAGAAAACATTACAAGATCTTCCCTTTTGGCCACTGTCCTGTAAAATTCCAAGGCGTTTCGCTTAGCCATTGAGCTTAAATGTTCGACCGGAATGAAGCAATCGTGAGCGAGAGGAACTGTACCATACTCCCTGTGAAAGTTCACGAACGCCGACAGGAACGACTAGTTTTCAGTTGCCGTAGTTCAAAGCCACTGAAGATTCGTCTGATGTCCACGACTACAGTAAACTATACGAATTTTCAGCCAGTAGACTGACAATATTTTTGGTCATTTGCCGTAAGAGTCGACTATAACCGAAAATTTTGTTCAATTGGGCCAGCATAGAGAACACTATTTCGGGACTGGGATTCAGTCGCTTGCGGGCAGGCCAGTTTTGGGATCGGATTAGCATAGTTACGACACTACTTGCAAGAGTTAGAGAGTTGATTTATCTGGTTATCCTTTAGCGGCCAATATAAGCAAATCCTAGCGGGGGCTGTTCTGTTTGTTCTCGAATGAACCCGGCGAGACTTCTGAAGTAAGGATTGCTGCAGCTCCTTTACATTGACCACACGCACCCGTCCCCTAGCAATCGACCGTCAAGTCAGTTGAAGTTAGGTAAAATTTTATGTTGCAAACAGTCAGGAGGCGTTACATGAAGATCTACTAAGGTAGAGGGCATACGTTGGTGGTCCGAGGTGCCTTTCGCGAAAGCGCGAAAGGTCCAGAGAATGCAGTTGTGAATGTGCTAGCAGGCTGGGTATGGAAGTGCCGTGCTATCATTGTACTGAAATAAGTCGTTTTCTGGACAGTCAAACAATGGACCTCGTGGTTGAGGTGATCAGACCAAAAGTGTGAAGTACTGTGAGCAGCTGGATTTTGGGGCAGCCAAGGTGATCCATGAGAATAGAACAACCTGATGTGGGATTAGATATCATTTGTGCTCAGTGTGAGGTTTGCCCAGTTGGCATGAGCAATTACCGGGTGAGTTGGAAGGAATATGTGGGGGTCCCTAGATCTGTAAAAGTCTTATCGGAGGGGCTCCACTGTGCAAAGAATTGATGCATAAGGGCAGATGAAAATAAATCATTCTACATGATAAAGAAACACTGGTCTAACTGAAAGTTGCTACATGGCTGGAATAGTACCATGTTTCAGGAGGGGAGTGAACGTTAGTTTACGGACCACCGGTTCCCGAAGCACCGCTGTCAGCTTCGAAAATCAAGTCATGCATGGTGAAAATTTTCATGGGCTCTACCGCTGAATGTTAATAATTAAGGAATATAAATTTTATCAATTTTTTAATTAATTTATCTTTCGTTTGTGTATGACCACCCCGGGAGCAATGGGGCGAGTGAGGATCCAGGCCGTCACCATCAAGTCAAATCCGGAGGTAACCAATCCTATATTATTATACAACACTCACAACACCTGACTCCTGATCGTTTGCAGCGACGTGCCATAGAGCCACAGCGAACAATAGGAACCACTGCACCATCTAGGTGTTGATCGCAAAACCCTGTTTTAATGACAATATCGGATCCATGAGCTTGACTTGATCGGATTAACGAGAGCTGAAACTCCAATTTTTTTTACTCACAGAATGTCAAGCTGCTCGTCTGATGGTCTCAGAAAGCCGCCACAAACCCAAAACATGTACTTTGTTACAGGTAATATGAGTGTTCACGCTTCAGCATGCCAAAACTTCTTTTCCAAAAGACCATCCAATATTGCTGCGAGTTTACCACACTACTCAGCATGCCAGATTATATTCATGTTAAAGGATGTCCTCTTCTTCCACATGGCTAATTGGTTTGCTGAACTTAAAATGGGGAGCAAAGAGTAATCACGATTATATTAATTCCCAGTTTGTGGTTGGCATGATCATACGCTTAAAGTAAAAATGAAGCATGCCTGGGGGGATTTGCGGGTACTGGAGATT